TATCAAATAATGTTGTATGTGGACTATTACTTCTATTATTACATGATGAGAATGATGATGATTAATATTATTAATATTATTAATATTATTTGTATTTGGTAATGAAATTAAATATTGTGGATTTAATCTAAAAGTATTAATTTGATTACAACTACCACCACATGTATTACTTGTCCATGAATCTCTAACATTTCTATAATATTTATATGTTTGTGGAATGGGTTCTAAACTACATGGTACACTTGAATAACAAAATAATGAATATCTAATACTTTGTATCATTCCATGTTGTGATAATACTATTCTAAATATTGATAATTGATCATTTGAATCATCATTTGAATTATTTGATGAATTATTTGATGAATTATATGAATTATTTGATGATGAATTTAAATTTAAATTTGAATTTAAATTAATAGATTTCTTTCTATTTTTAGAATCATCTGAATTTAAACAAATTCTATAATGTGGATCATTTGAATATCTTCCTTTATGAATGAGAGTATTTTCATTATAAAAAACTCTATCCATACCTTGTTTAAAAACAGTAGTATCACCAATAGAAGAAGAACTACCTCTATGTATATGAAATGTTAAATAATCACGATCTCTTTCTTCTAATGAAGTATAATGTTTAGTTAACATTATCCATACACTTCCTTTACCATGTAATTTTAATCTAAATTGTGGATTACCATTCATTGTATAATGATCTGTACCATCTAAACTTATCATTCTATTATCCCATAATGAATGTCTTATTTCTCTATATGGAAATAAATCTGGATTCCATGAAAAATGAACAGTTTGAAAATATTTTAATAAACTTTCATAATTCATCCAAAATATACCATTATCTTCTTGATGAGAAATACTTGCATCATATTCTAATTCTTTTTTTAATTTATCTGTCCATATTTGTTTATCATAGGGTGAATAGGGTCCTTTCCATCCTTTTTTAGTCCATGGATTTTTAACTTTAATTAATCTTTTTATATTATTATTATTTAAATTATTTAAATTGTTATTAAAATTATTATTATTTAAATTATTATTAAAATTATTAAAATTATTATTAATATTCATATTTAAAGTATTACTAGTACTATTATTATTATTAATAGTAGTATTAGTATTAGTATTATTAATAGTAATAGGTGAAGTATTTAATTTAATTTCTCTAACATCTAAAATAGCATAAGCATGATTAGCATATAATCCAACTAATTCTTCAGTTTGTTTATCTAAATGACCAGTTGATATGGTAATTAAACATTTACCTAATTGAAATCCATCATGCATTCTTTTCCATAATAATTCTTTATCAAATGTATTTACTTGTTGTTGATTATTAATAGGATATTGTTGTGTTCCATTATTCATCATCATCATATTGGGTGATTTACATGTATTATTATTATTATTATTACCATTTATAGAAGAAGTATTATTATTACCATTTATAGAAGTATTATTATTATTATTTAAAATAATTTTAACTTCTTCAGGTATCCAACCAGTTAAAGCATATAAATCAATACCTGAATTTGAACCTGGAAATTGATAACCACCATTTACTTTCATATATGCTTTTTCCATTAAACTAATCCAAAATTCTTCCATTTTAGTAGAATAAGAACATAATAAATTACCATTTATATCAACAGGTAATTTATCATCAATGATAACTTTTCTAGCAACACCATTAAAATATATTTTAATAGAATATTTACCATGTGGATTATAAAATGGTTTACCTGTTATTGGATCTTGTGGATAAATTGAATTTGTAATTAATTTCTTTTTATATTTTCTTTCATATAATGCTGCTACACATAAACTTGCTACAAATGAACAATCTGTTACTACATGTGATTGTACTATATTCTCTTCATTAATTTCATCTTGATATATTAATGTTGGATATATATTTAATTTATTTAAATTATTTAATTGATTAGATTGATTTAAATTATTATTTAATTGATTTAAATTATTTAATTGATTATTAGATTGATTTAAATTATTATTATTATTTAATTGATTAATTTCATTAGATTGATTAATTTCATTAGATTGATTTAAATTATTATTATTATTTAATTGATTTAATTTCATTTCAATAATTTCATGTGGTCTTAACCATTTATATAATTTAGATAATTGTTCTTTTGATAAAACATTATTAAATTGTTGATCTATAAATGGTTGTGAAAATGTAAAATTTTCATTTAAATCTAATTCATCATTCCATGGATATAATAATAATCCTGATTGCATTACACTTGAATATTTTAATACTTGAATTTCTTCATCTGTTATTGGTTTAATCTTATTTGTTTGATTGTTATTATTTAATATAGATGATGATGATATAGATGATGAATTATTATTAGATAGTTGTTGTTGTTGATTAATAACAGCACCATTAACAGTTGTACTTATTAATGATCTTTCAAATGGAGATGATGTATTTAATGAATGATTAATTGATGAATTATTATTATTAGAAGATAAAACAGATGATACAGATGATGCACTTGATGGTGTAATAGGTGTTAATGGTGTAGATGGTATTATTAATGAACTAAAATTAAAATTATCAATATCAATACTATTATTATTAGAATTAGAATTATTTGATGATGAATTATTTGATGATGAATTACGATGATGATGGTGATGGTGATGATTATATTTATTAGGTGATGTTGGTGAATATGAAGATGGAAGATTACTTGTTGGAGATATTGATAATGGTCTATTTAAATTATTATTATTATTATTATTAGATGATGATGTAATATAATAGGTGATAATCTTTGTTGTTGTTGTTGATTATTATTTAATAATGGTGATGATCGGTTAGTAGTAGTAGGAGTTGGAGTATTATTATTATTTAATGATGAAATTGGATTGGTAAATAAATGTAAATTATTAAATTGTTGTTGTAATGAATTTACAGTAGTAGTAGGTGTTGTTGTTGATGGTGATGATTTTAATGATTCTGCTTTTGAAAGTACATTCTTTACTTCTGATTGAAATGGTACTTTATCTATTTATATTAAATATTAAATTAAATATATTAAATTAAATATATTAAATAACATACATTTACTAATTAATTCTAATCCATATTCAGCAGCTTGTGCATAATATTTAGTTGCATCATTAATTCTATTTAATATTATTAATAATTCAGCTGTACAATCACAAAAATGAAATAAATAATGAAGTGCAATTGGTTTAGATAATGTTATTGTTCCATTATTATTATTTAAATTATTTAATGAAGATTTTAAACGTTTTTCTAAAAATTCAGCTCTACTAATTGAAAAATTTAATATTTGTGTTATTTGAAAATGTAAATCTTGTTTTTGTTGTTGATTTAATTCATTATTATTTTGTACTATATATTATTAAATTATTATTAATATTATATTAATGTTATTATTATAATATATATTAAAAAAAACATACATTGATTTCTTAATTGTATAAATAAAGATGCAAATTGAATATATTGATCATAGGCTATTTTATATTGTTCTTCATCTTCACTTTTTGATGCATTTAATAATATTTGTAAATCATTAATATTAAAATTAATATTAAAATTCATATTATATATGATGAATGAATGGAAATGATGAAGATTTATTGTTGTTGATGAGTAACTATAATACTATTATTATTTAATAATAAACTATTATGAAATTCCGTTGTTTAATTATTGTTGTTGTTATTGTTGTTGTTGTTGATTGTTATTTACACAAGTAGTTTATATATATGTCCTCACTCGTTTTATTAAATAATATTATTATTCCTCACTCAATATTGAATGAATATATTGTGTGATGAATGATATGATGAATGGAAAGAAGGATGGACAATTTTTTAAACTTTGAAAAAGATCTAACCACCATCAAGTATCTAACCATTAAACAATAATAACTATGGTGTTGTGTCTCATTGAACCATTTCGATCACTTTGATGACAATAACCAAATGAATTTGATGAAATATTCTTGTTAATCTCTATCTCACTCTTATCATTTAAA